TTTCACGCTGAGGCAGGCGGAGGGGGAGCGTGGGAGGTAGAGCGGCGTGGCCGCTGTCACGCCGGGGGGTCTCGGGAGAGCGGCATTGCTCTGGGTCTTCTGGGCTCCCGAATTTTGTCGTCACGGGTGAATAAGATCAGGGGTAAAATGCTTCGGCGAGCCCCTTTCCTCCCAGCGGGGGGCTGAGCGGCGCTGAGCTCCCCACGTCTCCATATCGCTGAGCCTGGCTGGCGCAGCCTGCGAGGTGGGAGGTGCAGGAGGGATTGCTGATGGGACGTGCTCTGGTTTCACCGTTAGTAGGGGCTTCGGAGAGGAGGTCTCCCACCGCCCCTTGGCTGTGGGGACCAGCCGAGAGCCCGAGGCTCTGCAGCAGGGCAGGGGTTGGGTGGTGCGGGAGCCCTCGTGCCCTGGGGTGTAGATCCGGGGTCCAAGGGAGGGTGCGGGTTTGTGCTGCTGCAAAGGCTTGTCCTTAAAATGGACGCGAGAAGCCCGAACTAGGCGTGGGGTGAGCTCCGGGTGCTCCCCTCCAACACCCAGCCGCCGTTTTGCTACCAGATCCTTACGAATGCTTTCAACCCCTTCCCCTTGAATCCAGTTTGCAGGACCGGCTTAAAATAAGTTTGGCAAGAAGACAGGGTAAAATTTGAGCTGCCACAAGGTCAGAGGCTTTTTGTCTTCCTTGTTTTGTTGCTGCAAGTCTTGCATCCAGTCCCGCCTCGCTTTTTCTGAGTGCTGGTGCTGCTCCCGGCTGTCGGGAACTGCTGATCCGCTCAGCCCCTCGCTGGGAGATCAGCGAGGACTGGGACATTTTTCCCAGCCTGGAAAGGAGCTCGGTGGGAATTGCTGGAGCCGGGGGAGCAAACACCCGCACTCGGCTCCCGGCTCTGCGGCGAGTGCTTACTGCCATCTCCCTACCTGCAGATGAGCCCCCACCGCCCGTGTTTGCTCGCCGGGTGGAGGGTGTTTAGCGAGGGCAGAGTATTTGCAACTCACCATAATGACTCTAAACAATCAGATCTTTCCAAAGGAGATGATCGAGGCTGTTGGCTCTGGATCTGACACCCCTCCCCTGCTCCTGTGTGCCAGAAATCTGCCGTATTTACTGTCGGGCTCCAGCTGGGGAGAGGGGACCCTGCCTCATCCGTCCCTTTGCCCAGTTCAAGCTGGACAAAGACGTGTGTAGAAAGAGATGGGGTAACGCAAGAGCTGCTCTGCAGTCCCTGATCCGTTTCCTTTGCCCTCCTTAAAACTGGAGCCAGGCAGCAGCGTTGGACCCTGCCCAAGGGCTGAGCTCGGGGGAATTCACCTTCAGCAGGGCCGTGCCAGCGACGGTCACGTCCTAGGGCTGGCAGACAGCCCTGCCTCGTCGCCCTTGGTTAGCCTGGGGAGGGACACACGCGGTGCAGGGTGCTGAGCACCCAGCTTTGGCAGGTGTTTGGAGCCTTGCTTGGCCTCTCGTCACCCTGCTCGAGGCGCTGGGTTGCTTCAAGTCTGGTCTTGCTGCTGGGGAGGTTGAGGTGGTGGTGTGGGGAGCGAGGGGTGCGCCTTAATTCTCGAGCTCAGGCTGGAGGAGGAGGCGGCAGTTTGCTTTTTGGAGGCTGCTGTTGGCACTGCAGGGCTTAAAGGAGCAGGAGAGATGGGTGGCCGTCTCTGTCTCTGAATTTAGTGGGGTTTTGGATGGCTAAAACACACGCTGCGGTACCCGCGGGCTCTGGGAAACCGGGAAGCCGCAGGAAAGCAGCAGGCGTGATTCATGTCTCCGAGCCGGCTGCAGAAATTCCCTGGTAGGCTTCAAGTTTGCTTTCCAGGCACTTCTGCAGAGCAGGGCTGACTGCGAGCCAGGTCGGTGAAATCGGAGGGACTGCAGTAAATCCTCCTTCCTCTCTCTCTCTCTCTCTTGCAGGACGGGATCTGCAGTGAGGCGCAGAGAGCTGCTGCGGCGCAGCCTGGGAGCTCCCGCCGTTCGCTGGAGAGCCATCGACCTGGGGGGGGGAAAAAGGCTCTGAATAAATCCCAGGTAACTGAAGCAGGGAGGAGTGTTGTGTCTTACACGAGGCCGCCCGGGAAGCGGTTTGCTCCTGGGGCAGCCTCGGCAGGGCTGGGGTAGCACGGTGACAGAATTGTCCCTGCTGTAACAGCATCGGGACCGCGCTGCCAACACCCAAAGCCAGCCCCGAACCGATGCAAACTGTTTCTCTCTTACTGCCAGCCAAGCGGGCTCTGGCTATGTGCTCTGCCCGGCGGGCCTGGCCCCCAGATTTTATCCAGATTTTCTTTTTGTCCCTGTTGGGGATCCCTATCCAGCTTGGACAGGGAACAGAGGACGCAATTCCTCTGGCTGCATCTCGTGTGCTCGCAGGGGATTGCTGCATTTGGCTTTCAAGATGCTCATTTACATTCTAAAACTATTTGCAAGCTCCTTTGCTCCTTTTTTTTTTTTTTGAGTCCCTAGTT